GAAGTCTCACACTGTTGCCTGGACTGCAGTGCAATGGCATGATCTCAGCTCACTGCAACCTCCGCCTCCTGGGTTCAAGCAATTCTGCTGCCTCAACCTCCTAAGCAGCTGGGATTACAGGTACCCACCACCACACCCGGCTAATTTTTTGTATTTTTAGTAGAGACAGGGTTTCACTATGTTGGCCAGGCTGGTCTCAAACTCCTGACCTCATGATCCCCCGCCCTGGCCTCCCAAAGTGCTGGGATTACAGGTGTGAGCCACTGTGCCTGGCGTACTTTACTTTTATTTATTTGAAATAGTAGATATGAGAATGAGTTTATGAAAGAAAATTCTCAAGTAAATGTCTGAGACTTCAATTATCATTTCTGAGAAGGTGTCCCAAAGTAAATCTATTCCATATATCTTAAATTTTTTTGAGATGGGTCTCGCTCTGTTGCCCAGGCTGAAGTGCAGTGGCACGGCCATGGCTCACTGTAGCCCCAACTACTTGGCTTAGGCATTCTCCCACCTCAGGCTCCCGAGGAGCTGGGAACTACAGGCGTACACCAGCATAGCTGGTTAATTTTTGTATTTTTTTTGTAGAGACAGGGCTTCACTATGTTGGCCAGGCTGGTCACAAACTCCTGGGCCCAAGTAATTCAACTGCTTCAGCCTCCCTAAGTTCTGGGATTAGAGGTGGGAGCCACTGTGCCTGGCCTACTCCATATATATTGAATCAGTATAATTTTGCTATGTTAGATTACCCAACAGTGCCACTTTTACCTTTAAAAAGTCTACTATTTTTTTAAAGTAGGCAATACAAATACATGGTACAAAAGAATACAAGGTTAAACATGTCAGTAATCCTCCCATACAAAAGTATTGTAAAACTGAAAACTTCAGCTAGGTTGGAAGCAGAGATTCAACTGCAGCCTATGTTAGCTAAATTCAATTCAAATGAAGACTACAGTTGTGCTCCTAAGTCCTTCAAGGCAGCAGGCACACAGGAACAGAACCAAGTTAGCCATCGGATGCAATCTTCAGCATAGCCAGGTAAGAAAGAAAGATAACTTTCTTTCTTTTTTTTTGAGACGGAGTTTCACTCATGTTACCCAGGCTGGAGTGCAATGGCGCGATCTC